TTTTACCATGAAAACTAAATTCAAATACGGACTACTTAAACAATCAATTATCCCTCATAAACCCTAACACGGAATATTCTCACCAAATCCCCGAAGAACATAAATTCACCGCCAATTTTGGCGGTCAAGGATTTATTTTGGGGGAACATTCCTGAATAATTTTTACTATTTTAACCCAAAAAATCAGAGTTTTTGCCAAACTTTCTCAAAATGGTGAGACCATTTATTACCGCCATGACTTCTCCCCCGCTGATATTATTAGTTTTCAATTCACTCCTGCCGACCAAGTTATCAAAAATGAAAAAGGCTGATGAATACCAAAAAACCGCTAATTATTTTCTGAATTCGGCCATTAATTCCACTCCCCGATGGCCGAGTTGAGGGGATAATTACCCTTCACGCGGAAAAAACCGCGTCAAAAAATTGGAAAAACTGACAGATAAGCGACAAGTCGGATTCCTGATTAGAGAAATCTAACTCAGGGGAGGTGTCCTAAACAGAGAGTTGGGGCATGGGCTAAATGAAAAACAAGCCCTGGACAGTTTGCCCGGAAACTGCGAGAATTCGGGTTCAGCGGCTAAGGATTTTTTAAGGTTTACCTTAGACAAAATAAAATAACCGATTTTAGAGGAGGAGAATTTTTTTTTTTTACTCCTCTATTATATTATCCGCTGAATACAGGAGTGGGATTATTATTCTCCTCTCTTAACTATTCATTACAAGAGGCACCTACATATAGAAATCAAATGAAAGCAAAATTAACTATCACAGAAAATAAATATTTAAGAATTTTAACTAAAAAGCATATTTTACTGCCGACCAAAAATAAAAAACCGTTAGTAAAAGGGTGAAATAAATATTATGCCGAACATCGTAGCATCGCCCAATTACTCCAACTTAATCAAGAATATTCGTTAAGAACTGGCACTCTGATTGGCAATTATTACTTTATCGCGGTAGATTTGGACGATTTATGAGCCAGAGAACGAATCAAGGATGCTCGCTATATTCAAACTGCTAACGGCATTCATCGTTATGTTTTGATTAAAGAACTCCCAAAATCTTGCTGATTAGTCAACCAAAATGGAGATCTGATTGGAGAATTACATAGCAAAGGCCGTTTCGTGGTCGGCATTGGCTCTATTCATGAAAAAGGGGTTCGCTATACTCTAAAAGGGCGAGTGAATGAAAAATGAAGTTTAAAATTTGAGAAATTGGCAGAATTACAGGAATTTTTAAAAGCGAGAAATATTTTTACTACTCCCTGAGGAAAAAAAGGAAAAGAAAATATACGGGATTTGGAATTTTATGAAGATAAACCGGTCCAGAAAATAAAATCTCAATTTAAGCCGATCCAAAATTATTATCAAAAAAAAGAGCAATTGGAAAAACGGATCCAGAGTAATCCACGACGGGAAAACTTAAACATCTGTTATATTTGTTTGGTTTGCTTCACCAAAGAATCCGAAATTATAAAATCTCATTTAGCCGGAAAGAGACATCAAAAAAATTGAAAAACTTACCAACAAAGACAAAAAAATAAAGCCGCCTAATTCTCCCAACAAAATTGTTTATTCTGTTAGCAGTAAGAGTAAAAATGATATCTGCTTCCTACTGAAAAAGGATAAAAAGTAAGAAGTAAATAATAAACGGTAAAAAGAATTATAGATGCCCAATAAAAAAACTTTAACAGTTCTTCCGACCAATCAATTACTCCAACAAGTTTGAGATTACCTAATCTCCCGCCCACCAAAAAAAGGAGAATTTAAAAAAGCCGCACATGAATGCCTTTATCTTTTGTGCTGAAAAGTTGGTTTACGGATATCGGAGGCTATTGAGTTTGATTTATCTTTGGAACACCAACAGCCCGAATACAAAAATCTCTATCTCTTACGTGGCAAAAGACAAAAAGAAAGATGAGTATTTGTTGGACCTGAAATAGTTAAGGAATTGAAGAAAAGGAATTGACAACCCCACCAAACTAATCGCGTTAGTTTTTTTGATTTCTTACAACAAATAAAAAAAGAAATGGGTTTATCGGCTAATATTGAGTTATCACCTCATACTCTCCGGAGATGCTTTGCTACTTATCAGGCTATTTCAGGCATGCCTTTGCCCGTGTTGCAGAAAGTATTAGGGCATAGTAAAATAAGTACAACGGCTCTTTATATTAAGGATTCTGATTTAGGGAATTTGGTTAAGTTTAGGCCGGTGTAAAATATTAATATTATGGTAGCAACTAATAAATCAACACCTCAAAATCCTTTTAAGGATAAAAAATGACTTAAAGAATTTGCCGAAGAATTTAAAAAAGATGTTAAGAAAACCCCAACAAAAAAAACTTCGGGTGGCTGAGTATATTCCGTGTTAGGGTTTATGAGGGATAATTGATTGTTTAAGTAGTCCGTATTTGAATTTAGTTTTCATGGTAAAA